CCCTCCCTGGGGAGCAGATAGGGTATGGGATAGGTAGGGTGTTAGTTGGGTGGGCAGGGGAGGAGGGGAGGGAGAGGGACCTGGGATTAACATGTAAAATAATCTTCTTTCTAATTAAAATTTTTTTAAAAGTTAAAAAAAAAGAATTTACATACCCACTGTATCTACCCTAAATACAATTACGTCAGGAAATTGGGATTTGAGGCTGGAGAGATGGCTCATTGAAGAGCATCCACCACTCTTGCAGAGTAACCAGGTTCAATTTCAGAGTAACCAGGTTCAATTTCAAGTACCGACACGGTGCCTCACAACTTGCTGCTGCTCCAGTGTCAGAGGGTCTGATTCCCTCTTCTGGCCTCTGCAAGCACCAGGCCTAAAAAACGATGCACAAACATGCATACTCATAAAATTAAAATTAAAACATAAATTGGAATTCATTGTCAGATGTTGCCTGGTATATAGTCCTAATAATTCATAAGGTTATGCTTATGCAACTTAACTCTTGGTTTTATGAAGTACAATGTAATAATTGTTAAAATATTTGTCCTTGGGGCCTGGGGAGAAAATTCAACAGTTAAGGGCACTGGCTGCTCTGGCAGAAGACTGGGTTTAGTTTCCAGTACCCAAATGGCAGTTCACAACCACCTGTCACTAAGGTTCCAAGGGGAACTAACACCTTCCCTTGTCTCCTCGGGCACCTGCACACACATGGTACACATACACACATGCAGGCAAACACTCCTTTCACAAGTATTGTTTTGTTTTGTTTTGTTTTGAAAGAAATCTGGGACTTTAGTTCTCTGAGAGTTTGGTTCAGTATTTCAGAACCACTGTCCCAGTTTCCAGGGGGTCTTGAGTGCATGGGCAGTGTCTATAAGAGCTAATGGCTGTTTTCATAGTCTGCTTTGCAGAGACGCAGAGATGGAGACATAGTGACACTTCATCAGTCCTCTGAAGCCTGGACTCAGATGTAACAACACAGATAGTCCATCCCTTTTTCTTTAACCAGCCAATGGCAAAATTCCTGTCCCAAGCTCCAGCCAGATGCTTGGTCTCTTAAGTGGAGATCTTATCACTAATTCCAGTTTATGGTCCAACACTGAGGGGAATTCAAAGCATGAACCTGAAGGAGCTAAGCACACCGACAGTCAAGAGCAGAGAGAGAATGAATGCATCCATGCTTCAAACATACTGTAAAGATTCCAGGCATTATGCTGACCCCACCCCCTGACAATGGGCAGGATACACACACACTGCCATTCAGGCAGATACTTAGACAGCTCAAAGAGCCCTGTGTTGTGTGGCTACGTCATACGTGGCTGCATTAAGGACTCTAGGCATGTGCAAGCTTTCCCATTTAAGAGAGCACCTCCCACCTGTTTGCCACGTCTTCTCCCTTCTTTCCCCTTCATTCTTCTTCCCCTTTCCCTTTCCCTTTCCATCTCTGTACCTGAATGGTCAACACCTATCCCTCCCTTTGCTCCTTTCCCCCAATAAACTCCTTGTAGGTTTTGTTGAGTTTTGAGGTTCATGGTTCATCACCAGCAGCTGTAGCAAAACAACAACAAATACACTATTTGTACAGAATATTTTTGACCCCACCCCCACACTGTTCTCCTCTTGGCCTGCCCCCGGAATATTCTTATGAGCCATAAAATCTTAAGAAACACCCACAGGAAAACAAGAGCCTTCCCTTGTTTTGATGATATCTCCATCCTTGGAAATTGTTCTACCTTGCACAGGACAACTTTTTCTGAACCTCTCCACAGAAGAAACTATGTCAGGTAGATGGGGTTATCTTTACTAAATTATTTCCGTGTTTACTTTTAGACCTATATTATTCCACCCATTAAATAGGAAATTACAAGTTCCTTGAACAAAACAAGGCACATAATTGTCCTGTGAAAATTGCCAAATTGTGACGTTAACTTCCTAAAGAAGACAGATTCAGAGGCCAGAGAAATGGCTTAGTGGTTAAGAGCACATGCCACTCTTACAGAGGACCAAGGCTCAGTTCCCAGCACCAACAACCACTTTATAACTCCAGTTGAAGGGATTAATGCACCCTACTAGACTTTGCAGGCACCCAGGCATGCTTGTGAGGCACTTTCTTACATGCATGTGAGAAACACATACATACACACATACATGCATATATAAAGCTTAACAAAACACACACACACACACTGAGAGACAGAGAGAGAGAGAGAGAGAGAGAGAGAGAGAGAGAGAGAAAGAGAGAGAGATTCTAGCACTGCAATAAGATTAAGACAAGCCACACTTTCAGTGGGCACATCTACACATTCATTACATCATATACTCTATGAGGAGGTTTTCCCACAGTAGCTCTTAGCAGAGAAAATACCCACCTTCATCATCATACATGCTTATCCCCTTAGTCTCTGCTGAGGATGTGAAATTTTTTGTCAGTTAAAAATTTTCCCACTTTCTCTTCTAAGAGGTTCGGTGCGGCTGGATTTATGTTGAGGTCTTTGATCCATTTGGACTTAAGTTTTGTGCATGGCGATAGATATGGATCTATCTGCAGTCTTCTTTCTACATATCAGCATCCGGTTATGCCAGCACCATTTGTTGAAGATGCTCTCTTTTTTCCGTTGTATAACTTTAGCTTCTTTGTCAAAAATCAGGTGTTCATAGGTGTGTGAGTTAATATCTGGATCTTCAATTCGATTCCATTGGTCTACCTGTTTATTTTTGTGCCAATACCAAGCTGTTTTCAGGACTATAGCTCTATAATAGATGTTGAAGTCAGGGATGGTGATGCCTCTAGAAGTTCCTTTATTGTACAGGGTTGTTTTGGCTATCCTGAGTTTTTTGTTTTTCCATATAAAGTTGAGTATTGTTCTTTCAAGGTCTGTGAAGAATTGTGCTGGTATTTGCTAAGTGCCCATTGCTTATAGACACACTTTCTGGATGTGTCTCCATCAGATAAAGTCATATTCTAACTCATTTTCTCTTTTATAGGGGTAATTATCCTGTTCTGCATGATGATTCCTTGGGAAGGACACACTGAAGTCACAGCAGTATTATCATCAGATTGTAGAGATATTGAAATATTACTCTAGTAATCTAGTGGTGTCCCAAGCACCCCATATGGTGATTCATGTGTTTGGGTGATGTTGGCACAAAACCCACTGCACTAACAAGGCCTTAAAATAGACAATTATGCATCTTGTATATGGCAGTTAATATTTGACTATGATAACAAATGACTATTCTTGCTTGCTTATACATTGACTGTACATTATGATTACAATTATATTACATTATGATTTGAATGAATATACCCATTTGTATAAGAAG